CGAACCCATGGCCTTGGTGTTATCAGCACCACACTCTCCCGAGTGAGCCACGGGGCGGCCCCAGACACTTACACATTTTTTTAATGCATATAGAAGGATATCTTCTGCCACGGACTTCATAAAGTGTATAAAATGATAATCAAACCACCCATCTCTGCTGTCTTTTTACTTTTCTAGTGTTCTTCGACAGCAATGTAAACTGCGTTTTGCTCTTGTATAGTATATCATCCTATCATTTTGAGATTTAATATTTTAACAATGTCACCATAAAGTAAGACCCTATAAAATTTCACCTAACACCAAAGAAGACAAGCAGTAGCGTAAACTGTCCTGTTTCTATTGACTTTTGTCCACGTCTTCAGGTTTTTTGTGTGTTTCATTGAGACATTTTGTACTTTAAATTCTTGTATTGACTACAACCACACCTCCTTTGTATGTGGGAGCATGGAGCTCGTCAGTTCTCCCCCAATTTTCATGGTTTTCTGTTTGTTCTGTTCTGCCGTCTGATCTAGAGCCGCCTGGCACGGCCAGTGTCCCGCTGAGAGTTCAGAACTCTTGGCGACGTTCCCAGTTTTTCTCCCAGTCAGGTAAACGGCATACTGGGTAGCTGGATTTCTTTTGTGCCAAAATCCATGTTGGGTCAACCAATGATGCCTGGCATTTGTCTTCATTTCTGATTCTAGAAGAAAAAAATGCTTGTTTCTGACACACAGTTAGCAAAGAGCAAGTTGTTTGGTATCAGTACCAGTTATTCTGAAATCTGGGGTTGGGGGGAATTCAAAGAATTTTGTGTTGATTTTGAGAATCTAAAGAAATGATCTTATTCACCTCTTTCTTTATTGTGCCCCCCCTTTTAAAAACAAAGATCAGAGCATTTGCCAGAAACATGATGGTTCTCTTGTTAACTGTGTTGCTCTTTACTTCCTGGATGCGATCTGGCCTCTCTCTGTATGACACATCCATCTCCTTGTCAGTGAGGGAACAGCTCAATCAAGCCAGAATGCAAGGTGCATTAAAAACAAGTACTAACAGGAGTAGTGTTTGCTTCCTGTAGTCTAGTATCTGGTGCTGATTGATGTGGCCAATCATATTACACTGGTCTTAAACTTCTTTTGGTGATGGGTACAACCTGCTTCAGGGATCTGCTTTATTATGATTTTCTACTGCTCTTGACTTACCAAAAAAAAAAAAGTTTGAAACTGACATAGGAACTATACTCCACTGAGAGGATCAAAAAGAAAGACAATTAGAAGCTACTCACATTGATACATACTTTTCTTTTTTTCTGTGCAGCAGATTCTCCAAGCAGTGAAAAGTCACCTGTAACTACACCCGTAAGTAACTCATTTTAAGAAATAAGATCATGCATTTAGTGTGATTTT